GATTGGAATGGACAAAATTCCTTAACGAGTAATCCATCTTATACCTTTAACTTAGACAATGTTTCTTCATTTCTTCTTACAACATACTTTAAATAGAGGGAGTTATCCAATTTTAGGAACCAAACGAACACTTAAAGAGTCTTCTGGAAAAAAAAATTAAAAAAAGAAAAAAGAAAACCAGTCTTCAATGGTGCTGCAGTTGGTACAATAAATTACAAATTCTTTGAAACTCAAATCTCCGGAATTAGTCGCCTTTCGTTGAATGTGGAGAACATGTAAAACTAAACTTATCATAAATATAAGTTAAGAGATTAAGCTCATGAATCACAAATTTATACAAGCATTAAAATCACAATTCGATATACACAATGACAAACTAACCCGAAAAAACAGTAGAACAATATGCTAAAGCAGACTTATAAACAGTGCACCTTCTCCTCTCTTGAAAAACCAAAAGTACTCAAATTAACAATATGTCTTAGTTCAATATTGAGCGTATGTTTTGTAAGAGCAGTGGCCATTATTTATAATAGATTAATTCTAATAATTCACCTATTAGAATCACCATAGGATACCAACTATGAATCCAAACATATTATGAGTGCATCAACAAAATACTTTCAGTCTCACAAGGACTATTATAATCTGAATTAAATTCTACAAGAATTACGATAGTTTTAAGCTTTTTAATAAGACTTTTCTATGTTAATTGAAACATTACGACCAATCATAATATTCAGTTTCATACTCATATTCTAACAGAACATAGGCACACCAGTTGCATAGTTAGTGATGTTTTAGTTTCACTTATCTTTCAGATGACTAGTCGTAAGACATGATATACCGATGAAGTTTTTTCTTCAAAATGAGTTATCCTTATCTCTACTTATCATAACGATTTTCAGAAAATCTAATGCGACGAATGAAAGATTTACTATGTTAGTACAGGGTTAAACTAGTAGTTACCCTTCAATTGTTTGAGAACTGTTGTACCATGATAGAGTTCAACACATGGATTTGAAGAATATATGGAGAATGCTGATGCTTCTTGGCTGCCACAAGTTTGTGGCGAAGAGTCCGCTGATTTATCAGTGGAGAAACTAAAACACTTCTTTTGTCCAGGGAAGTACCGACAGTGAACGTACAGAATCTTTAAAACACCTTTAAACACAAACTTGGTCGATGCCGACTTGTCATTTCCCTTCTCTTCTTTTGTATTCTTCTCTGCCTCTAGAAAATGATTGCCCAAAAGCTTATTAGTGGAAGAGAGGGATCAATCTTTAATAGCACTTCCACCCTTACCAAATTGCCCGAGCAATTAGGCTATTGAGCAGGACAATTAGTGCCTTTACTAACTACTTAAATGCATCTCCACCTTTAAATTGAATAGATCAGACTATTGGTTTAAAATATTTTTTTATTATAGAATAACAAAAGATAATTTTATTTTTAATTTCAGATATGATTTTTAACAAATTTTGTTACGTCACATATCATTAACTAAAAGCACACTTTTTGTGGATAGATTTTTTTAGTAGATTTTTAACTAGTTCCGTAGCGCCACATGTCATGATTCTGTAAGAATTTTGTGGATAAATTTCCGATAAGATTTGTGAATAAATACGAAATATGGTGTAAAGTAGAAGAGCATGGTTAGGTATTTATATAATAAAATTATAATTTTTTTTTCTTCATATTTTTGAATAATTTTTTAAAAATCTTTGTTAACTTAATTAATATGGACCGTTGGATTAAAAAAATTGTAATCCAATAGCCCAAGTTTTGACACATATGCCAACAGTAACATTTGAATTTTTTTAGGCCTAAAAATTTGGACCATTGATCTGAAAAGCCAACGGTCAAAATTTTGACATGTCACCTAGCCGTTGAGAAGGGTTGAGTGCGCCTGCTCGACAGGCCTAGCCCTGTTTTCTTGTCGAGCCACTCGTCCTTCTCCAGTGTATAATTCAGGCACTTGCCTAAAAAAATATAAAAAGGTAGCTGACGCCAACCTGACATCAGACTACCTCAGGCGATTCGCCCGTGTTGTCTGTCGGGCTCCCCTGAAGCCCAGTTGATTGGGTAAGGCTGGAGTGATTTTGCGGAGGGGGAATTTGATTGCCCAATAACCTAGGGTATATTCATGGGATGGAAGTGCTCTAAAGCTAGCGAGGAAAGACAAAAGTGGTGGAAACCTTCTAAACTAGATTGACAAAAACCAGTGGTATCAAGCGTAAATTTTGCTTAGACCGATTTGTTCTCCAGAATTAAAAAAAAAAAATCAGTTTACGGTGAGTAGGTGGAACTCCGAATGCATCATGAATGTTTACATTTGCTTGAGGAATAATGAACATATCATTCCTAAGCTTAAAGTGTTTTGGAGGCCTCTACTTTTTCTGTGGAACTTTGGTCCTGAAAAAGGGTGATGTGAGTTGGCGAATATGTACTTTTCTGAAGCTTTTTCACTTTCTTTACTGTTTTCTGTTTGATGTTTCACCGAGGATTGAAGTGGATGCCAGGAAAGGACATTCTTATTATCCACGGTGAATCACAATGATTGTGAAGGGGTAAAATTTGCGTGTTGAATCGGGAGTAGGCTCAAAATTTTCACCTGCGACTGTTTAGTTTCAGTTGCAAGGTTTGGCAAAGTCTGGTCTGTCTTGTATGGTTAAGGGTAGTAAATCTTCACGCTCAGATTTTCTCCTTCTGCTGTTCTGCACCCCTCCTCTTGTTTTTGTCCACTAATTCTCTTTTATTTATTCAGTCTAGAGGCTAAAACAAATTAAAAAGAAAAAAAGAGCATAGGAGGACAAAAGGGTATTGCTCATATGATTTCCTTTTGTATAAACCTACATAATCCACCAAAGGTCATAATATTAGAAAATCTTTCAATAGTTTTCACAATCAAATCCGATCTGAAATTGGGGGTGGTTAATGTTTCCAGTTCCTATAGATGATTCTTCCATCTGCCTAGAGAAAACCGGTAAGGAAGTTGATGATGAAAAAGCTCCACACAAGATTAATAAAGGGTTGATTATAATGAATCCCTTATTCTCTTGTTTGTTTATCATTTTTCTATTCTTTATTTTTTATAAGAAAATTTTGACCTTAAGAGAGAAATTTTATTGATAACGAAAAAAAGAAGTTACATTAATCAGGAGGACATTAAAAGAAGTTACATTAGTCAGGGAAACATTAACCTTACATTTCATTATACAAGAAGGGCCCCACCACAAGTTGCATGGCAGGGTTACCCTTAGCAGCCCATTTGTATTCACTTTAACCCAATTATACGCGGAGGAGGGTGTCAAAGAATGGGAAGAGCATGACATAACTTAGTCGAAATCCAAGAGAGATTGCTTGTCTGAAACTTTGCGCACATGACCACGAGAGAAAGTCCCAAACTGTCTAATCTAAGCCAAAGTAGAACAACATATACATAAAAATGAAGGGGACTTGCTTTCAAACTTTACTTTATTTCATATCTTCCAAATAGTCATTAGCAAGAAAAACACTACAGCCAACCAAACATTTCGAAGATGTGGAGGAAACCGCTTCGACATGAAAGAGAGCTAAAAATCCAAAAATAAGCCAGCAAACAAAAGAATGCCAAATTGAGCAGCAAACTAAAGCCAAGGACATTGTGCAAACCCACATCTAAAAAATATGTGATCAATGGATTTAGAGTTGCGGTAACATAATCAGCAGATAAGTACTAAAAAATACCTCATCGTTGTAGTTGATCCTCTGTTGGAAGCTTATTAAAGAGTATCCTTCAAATCAAAATAGAGTAGTGGAGTGAGATAAACGGACGCCAAATAATGAAACGTTATTCTCTTGTTATTTATAATAGTTCAGAGTTCGATTTTCTTACAAGGTCAGCCTTTCTAGGATAGATCTTGAACACTTTTGACCCTTGAAATCTATTAATCTATGATGCATTTAAGTTTCATTCTCATTTCAAAAAATCTTGGTTGTAAAACCGCAGTCTAAAAATAATTTTCATGCAAGGAAAAAGTTACTATGAAAGTATTTCAAACTAATTATAAAATATTATACGAGAAAAATTAAAATGCAAGATGTTGCATGATTGACGTAAAATACCAATAGAGATGTTTTGAGTTCAACCTCTCTTCAACATGTACATGCAGCTTTTAATTTGAGTCTGGCCTGGCCATTATCAAGGTGTAAATATGATCGACACTGACACTACTACACATATTGGGTCCGCGTAAATTTTGAAGATTTGTTTGGAACTAGTAACTGGTAATTTTTCCCATTTAATCTCAGAAAAACTAGTAGAAATTCACATGCTTAGTAGTTATTTTCATGCAAAGAAAGAGAGAGTTCTGGTTCACTGTCTGATTGAATATGTGTTTTACTTGAGCAAGTAAAATTAACCCAAGCAAAAAATTGACGAAAGGAGAAACCCTACCAAACTAGTTTGACTGAGATTACTGGGAAAATGAAGCCCCACTCTGTTTGCTTTTACCCATGAATACGAGCTGAGTGGGTGGTCTTCGAGGACTTCCAATGCATGCAGATGCAAGATGCAATATAACAACAAAACTCACATTTGGCCACATTCTCTCACTGTAAATCTCTCTCTCACTCTCTCTCTCTCTCTCCATCGTCCTTAGTTGTCCATGTCAAGTGAAACCATTAGATTTTCGTCAGTGAAATTTAAAGCCATTGATCAATCAAAGAAGCCCTAGCTAGGATGCTTTGGATTCTTCTTCCTACATTGAAACCTCTCCCTCTCATCGTTGTGTCCGCTCTCTCTCAAACCTTATTACTTATTGCATTGTTTTTTACAATATCTGACACCTCCCCTCCATTTTTGTTTTATAATGTTTCGCATGCCACCCAAAAAAAAAAAAAAACCATCGTTTTTTACAATATATATTGGAGGACCTCAGAGCTCGTACTTTGATTCCTGCATTGCATGTAACCAAACAAACCTCTCTCTCTCTCTCTACCAACTTCACCTTCTGCATTTCATGGCTGACTATAGTGAAAGGGGCGTTCAGGTCTCCCACTAAAGATTACGATCAGCCAAAAAGTAGCAGAAGAAGAGATGAACATGAACCAAAAGAGGAAGAAAAGGTAACAATATTGCATACAATTTTTTCGATATTTTAAACTATTCTAATCTATGTTTTTTTTTTACTTTTTGAGTACTCAATGTTTGGTTTGTGTACAGAAGAGAGAAAAGAGAAGGTGGCTTTTCCGGAAGCCTACTCTGCATGTTCAACAATGTGAAGCAAGGACAGTGACTGTAGATGCAAGCGCGCCTGTGAATCCTGTTTTGGATGCTGAGCAAAGGCATGCAATTGCTGTGGCCGCAGCAACTGCAGCAGTGGCTACTGCCCAAGCGGCAGTAGATATTGTTCGGCTCACAAGACCGAATAACTTTGCTAGAGAACACTATGCTGCTACACTCATTCAAACGGCATTCAGAGGTTACTTGGTAAGTAACTTACTAAGAGCATGTTCAAGATTGCTTAGGGAAATCACTTTTTAACAACACACTTTTAACTGCGTAATGTTTAAAACTGTTTCTTCACTTGGATTTTCGATAAAAACTTCAACGTAGTACTTCTAGCAAAACCGCAATGAACAAAAGTGATTCTTATCAAACCAGTCCCAAACCAGTCCTAAAACACAAAAATAGAGCACAATGTATAGATGTGATTACTTACAGAGGCTATGGTCGTTATTTGAATTTTTTTTACATATTGCAAATGTGGTTTTTGACTGAAGGCAAGGAGAGCTCTACATGCACTCAAGGGGCTGGTAAAGCTTCAAGCTTTAGTGAGAGGTCATAACGTTAGGAAGCAAGCAAAGCTGACACTGAAATGCATGCAAGCTCTGGTTCGAGTACAAGATCAGGTTCGCAACGAAAGATCAAGGCTTTCGCATGACGCCGGTCGAAACTCCATGTTTGCTGAAACAGGCCTTCACTTGTGGGAATCCAGATATCTTCAGGACATTCGTGACAGAAAGTCAATAGTATGCAGCAGCTGCTACCTCTTCACCTTTTTAGCATAAAAATATGAAATTTATATTCGTGCTTTTGCTTGATTTCGATAAAACTAGAGGGTTTTCTCAGTTACTAGTTTCCGGTGCTTGTCTAATTCCTCGTTCTTATATTCCGCTGCGTCAAGCAGTGTAGGGAGAAAAGTCGTGGTGAGGACTATTGGGACAAAGGGCTTGAACCCGTATTGCATAGTAGAAAGGAAGCTGCTTTAAAACGTGAAAAGGCTCTGGCTTATGCTTTCTCTCATCAGGTTGATCAATTTTCCATCACTCAAATATATGGTTCTTTTAGTACTTGTGTGTTTGTTTTAGAAGATATTTTTTTCTCGAAATGAGACGGCAGACGTTATCCCAAGCTAATCATACAATGCCATGTCAGAAAGTTGGTGATTGGTTTAGGACACAGTCACATGCATGCATATAAGTTTCTGTCTAACAAGCTAATGTCTTTAATACTTTGATGCCTAATTGAAGATATGGAGGCCTGAGAGGAACCCATCTTCAGGGGATGATGCAGAGCTAGAAGAGAGAACAAGATGGCTAGAAAGATGGATGGCCACGAAGCAATTTGAGAACAGAAGCCGAGCTTCAATTGACAAAAGGAACTCCATAAAAACAGTTGAGATCGATACGAATTCAAGGCCTTCCTCGTGCACATCTTCAAATGTCCCAATTTCATCGTCACATTCGCAACATCAAAAGCAGCTAGCCTCCTACGCCATTGCTTCAGCTTCACCCCTGCACAAATCACAGTACATGAATCATCTCTCGCCTGCAACACCCTCTCCTTCAAAACCAAAAGCTCTGAAAGTGCGGACGGCGAGTCCAAGATGCCCGAAAGAGGAAAAATACTATTGTTCATCAGCTGCACACACACCAAGCTTATCAGGCACCAATGCTTATTGGGGCTTCAGGGGTGCAATGTGCCGTTCTGGAACACCAAATTACATGGCTGCTACTGAATCCGCAAAGGCCAAGGCTCGATCGCTTAGCACACCAAAAACAAGGCCTTCTACACCCGAGAGAGAAAGAGGCAGCGGCTCAGCCAAGAAGCGCCTTTTGTACCCTGTCTCGGCTGAGCCACAACACCATAATTGTGTTGGCATTGATTGTAGTAGCTTTAGCCAGAACTCGAGAAGTCCTAGCTTCAAGAGTGTACAAAATAATGGCTACGATGGGAGGGAGAACTTGTCGTCGTACGCCGATACCCTTGGGGGAGAGATTTCTCCATGTTCAACCACTGATCTGTGGTGGTTAAAGTGAGGCAGGTGATTATGAAATTGAACCTAGTTTTTAATTTGTTGTCTGGTTGGGAACGGGAATGGAAATTTTATTATTGGTTTGGTTGGATGAGATGCTTTCTTCTCTGCTCTGTAATGTGCTAGCAATGAGAGGTGTTTATCTGAAAAATTTATGATGCTTCGGTATCATTGCCTTGACAATCGATGTAGGATGCGATTCCTTACTCTTCAATGGGATAGAAACCAAGGAACAAAGATTACCAAAGAGACTAATGAACAAAGTGAAGAATACTCAAATGGATTTTGGAATTTGGGTTCAAAAAGGAGAAAATGTAGGAGATTTGAAATCCTAACTGAAATTTTGATTCGTTTTGTGGGCTAATTACAATAGGAGGTTGCAAGGGAATTTAATGATTTTAAAAAGGATGAAAATGGTGATTTTGAGACGTCCCATAAGGTTAATAAGTTGGGAAAGTTATATACAACTCAAAATGATACATCATGGTACAAGCCTAAAGTGAAATATTACAAGCAAAATTGGTTTCGACTGGTTGGTTAAGGTAGTTTGCCCGTTCATGCATCCAAGCTCGTATACTCCTTGTAAATTAAAGTAGTTTATTATATCTTTCTTTTTTTTTAAAGTAGACTATTATAAAATATATTTGGAATTTACAACTCAAATAATGTTTGAGCTATGAAAGGAGTATTCAATCATGTTGTGATGCTGGCCCAGCCCCACACATCATACGGATGCAGGTAGGCAGAGAGGCTGGCCTCTCACCCATCTCTTTTTCTTCCTAGTTTTTAAGTGTCACAAGTTTTGGTAGATTCTGAGAATTTGCAAGTTGAGTTCAGTTGAGAGTAGTGTGAGGAAGAAGCAGATAGTTGTAATTTTTAGCGGATCATCGTCATCATTTGTCGATGCTGATTCTGAGTTAGGTTGTTTAGCCTCAGAAATTCTTCAGCACCAAATGTTTCTCAAGGCTGAATATAGGTTTGGTAGAATACGAGGTTTAGAACGTCTGCAGTCTGCATCATGAGTCTTGCCATATCTCTTTGAACAAGGTATGAGGTAAGCAAGTTGGACAAATTGCCGCGACGTTGAGTGAAACTCAATCTTCGTGGGTACGATCTCGTTCTTATCTCTCTACTGTTATTGAGTCGTACACTTGCGAGTAGTTTAGTTTAAGAGTTCAAAATTTTCTTTTTAGGATGTTCTAAAATCTAGAACATAATGGCATAGTATGCAGGCAACAAAATCAACTAAAACAGTAACTATTTTCCCATTCATGATCAACCTCAAGAGACAGACACAAAAGTTAGAACTTCAAACATTTAGGTGAAAACAAACCATCACTGCCATCCTCAGTGATTCAAATCAAAATTCTTGCCTACCATGTCCACTAGAGCTCTTACAGCTCGTGGAGCCACTGTTGCAGCCTTTAGATCCACCAGCAATGCCAAGGCACAAAGCTTCAGCCAATGGTCCACCAGGTGGTGACCCCATCATCCATGACATAGGGTTCATCCACTGGGACTTCAAACCCCCAACACTTTCCCTCTCTTCCCCCAAAACCCCAAGCCCCATTTGGGTATTTTCCCTCTCTTCATTGCTTCCTTCCCCTCCAGACATTGATAGAGTGAGAGATGAAAAGGGCAGCTTCTGGTTTGGAGAAACAAAAACTCTATCTTCTTCTCTCTCTGCTGACGTTGATGTTGACCATGCATCAATGAAATGCCTTGTCTGTTGAATTTGCAGGCCTTGGATTTCACCGCTGTAATCTGTGTGCAAATTCAGTGAGCCTTCAGTTTGTTGCTTTGGAACATCCACATCTGTGTTAGTAGGCTTTGTGTAGTTGTGACTGCTGCTCTTTAGGCCCAGCTTGAATTGCATCATTTGCTCCCACTCTTGGTTTGAGCCACCCACAGCTGGGGCTTCCCCATTCATGAACCAAGCCAAGGACCTTCCATGGTCAAGGACAAAAACCTCATTTATTACACAAAACAATGGAAACATCCAAGCAAGAACCACATCACATTAGAAGAACTTCTCTACAACGAGATGCCACTGTAGCAGTATCACAATTTATTCATGCGATGCCAAGTAGAAAAGTTAAAACACATCGCAGTGATTGATTGAATTCAAATACCGTTGCAGTGGCATCTTGTTGTAGGTATGTTTCTCTAGAAACAACTTTCTATCACGGGATGGTACAATAACGGTATTACAAGCCAATTAAGCAATTCCAAGTGAAAATGTTAAAACACATTGTAGTGACTTATTGCTTGAAATACTGCTATGCTACAGTGACATCCCGTGCACATTAATAGGGAACGGATGAGATCAAAGCAATAAAATACAACCGAATTAATGAGTTTCGGTCCTAAGTTTCAGAGCATTCAAAATTGAATCCAAACCTAACCTAACCCAACCCAAAACCAAACCCACCTGGGTTGGACATGTGGTCCAGCAGCAGCGGCAGCACTAGGAACCATGTTGCTAGAATATAGACTTTGCTGGTTGGTGATGTTGCTTTGTCTGAAAAAATTAGACGTAGGACTTCTCATGTTGTTGTTGTTGGTGAGGAAGTTGGGGTTTAGGGTTTGGGATTCCACAGGCTTTCTTGAACGGTTCCTGGTCTTGTGAGCATGTCTCTCACAGTACTTCAGATCCGGAGCTACATCTCTGGAACACCTCCATTTTTTTCCATCTGTTCTTTTGCACCTCCATGGCTCCGGATCAGAGCTCCCAGAAATCCCCAACTCCAGTGAACCCTTCACCACTAAACAAAAAACCCAACAACAAAGTAAAACAAAGGAATGCTTTTTTTGTTTTTTAAAGACAAAGGAACACAAACGTTGTTAAAATAGACCTAACGATGGAGTCTGCCTACAACTACATCGGAGTTCACGGGCACTTAGAGCCGTTGGATCCAATCTACGGGTTGAATGTAATGGCTCTAAGTGCCGAAATATGCAATACTCCAGTGTATTGTAGAAAAATTCCAAAAGATGAAAAAAACAAGGAGAAAGATTTACAGTTTGGGAACAAACGAGGGACAATTGATGTGTTCTTGGAAGTTGGTAAAAGTAATTGGGGAGGGACAGGGGAAGAGTCCATCATGTACTTGTAAATCATTGTCTGTCTCTCAAGCTCTTCCCTTTGAGCTGCTGTAAAAGGGAGTCTCGCATTCACCATTCCACCTATTCAAATTCAAAAAATTCAAATAAAAAATAAAAAATTAAAAAAACCCAACAGAAAAAGGACCAGAAAATCACTAAACTGTTCATCAAGTATGGAATCTTTGTTATTTTTTTTAAGAAATAAAGGTGGGAACTTTACCTATGGAACTGAAAGCCAAGGTGTGATCAGAGCAAGGCAGATGGTGCTGCAGAGACTTTGGGAGGACAAAATCAGAACCGACAGGATTGTATAAATCAGTCGGACAAGTCGGGACTGGATTGCTTGTGTTGCAAAACAAAGGTCCACCACCAGCACCAGGACTGTTATCCCAAACCCCACAAGCTTCTCTTCCTGCACTGGCAAGCAGAGGATCATGATGATGAGGATGATGATGCATCACCGTCATCGTCTTCTTCCGAGGAAATGATTGCTGGGTCTGCTGAGTGTTTTGCATCATCAAACCCAGCCACTCTGTTTCTGCTGCTGCTCCCTTCTCAGCAAACCCATTTCTTTTTCCCATGATTTGGTATTAAAAAACTCAAAAAATTGAAATAAAAAAGGGCACCTTTTCTGAGTTTTTCTCACTGCCTTCCCCTTCAATGTTCAACCCCACAAAACTCTGAAAAGGAAAATGGCCTTAATTACAACCCATGCTAGCTTTGCCTCTCTCTCTCTCTCTCTCTCTCTCTCTCTCTCCCTCCCTCTCTCTCTCTTCTGTGGGTGGGAGTGTGGTGGTGTTGTGGGGGGGTTTGGTAGGGTGTGGCGGTGCCGCCATTTTTAGCCATGTGTTGGGCTTTGCTTCCCAAGCTTCCAACATTACTTCCCCTTATGAATAAGGACAAAACTAGTACAAGCAGCTGGCAACAAACCCAGAATAACATCTCTCTCTCTCTCACTCTCTCTCTCTCTCTCCCTCTCTCACACTGTGGTACATAACGTTTACTTCACGTCTAATCTAACAGTGTTAAGTTTCTAAAAGTAGGGGATTATAGGTACCAATATTTGGCCATAAATAGAGGACACTACTTGAAAAAATTATTTAGCCACAATAGTGTGTTCTCTCAACATTCATTATTTTAACTAGTTGAACTTGTTTCTTCTTCGTCTATAGACTATATGCAAGTAAGAACATCTTCAAATGAGATATCAAAATGTACACATCAATTATAACAATAAAAAAAGATCACATTAATATTCTTCAATCAAAGTACCAAATCCTATGTGACGATGTCATGGATTGGCAGCAAAAGAGGTTGCTGTCAAATTTGGCAGCAACTTCAAATGTTTTTTTATTAATTATTAAATGTATTTTATTAAATTTTAATTAGCTTAATCATTTATTATAATTAATGTTGAGTTGACCATGCAATTATTCTACTTTTTCTTCTTTTCAATAAAAAAATGTGAACAGATTACTGATTAAACTTTTAATGTCCTTTATTAAATTTTAATTAGTTTAATAATTTATTTTATAAAATAATAAAATAATAATTTAATTTGACATATCGGTTGGAGAACAAAACTTTAAAAGATGTCAAAGTGCCACATAAGCTGTCAAAATTTAAATTTTATGTTAAAAATTTGAAATCTCCTTTGGAGATAGTTTAAGAGGTTTTATATTTGAATATTATTGATGACGAGTTCGATATCGATTTATTATAAATGACACATTGTGTAGCTTAACCTACATCCAAACTCTTAGTATAATTATATTTTTAATTCCAAGTGGATAGTCTAGTGAAAAGCGAACAATGGTTTGAAACCTCCAACCCAAGTATGAACTTCAACGGATGCATTCTTTGGGCCGACTTTACTTTAATATTAAAAGTATGTTACTA